TTTTACATCAGTATAGACATTTTCATTAATCCATCTATGATATTTTCTTCAAAATTATGTAGGAAACACATTACATAGCATATAAACATTTATGTTTATATACTATGGAGGTGTGGTATCCAGGCAGAGGGAAAACATTACATCACTCCCCTTAACACACAACGCTTTTGTTTACAATTCTCGGCATGAATTATTCATTTCTTCTCCCTTTGTTTATGATGGCATCTAAAGGTAGTTGTTATAAATGATTAAACTCAGTGAACATGGTATATCGATGGTAATAATATGGCTCTGGGCCATATTAACCCTTTGGGGGTTTCGGACGTACTAGTACGTCTTACGACCCAGGGTTTTTGATGTACGAGTACACCTAAATTCTAGCGCCCTCAAATCTAGTGAGAGAAAGATGGTAGGCCTACATATGAAAGAATGGGTCTTTGTGGTCAGTGCGCGCAGTATAAAAAAAATCCTGCAGCACACATTGCGTAATGAGACAAAAAAAACTTTGACCGTGTTTTTGGATTAAAACAGTGACTTTGCACTGTATTTTCATATGGTATTTATTGTTGCATTCTAGTTTTCTTGGTCTCATTTTATAGAATGGAAGACATATTACAGAAATTGAGATGATTTTGACTGATTTTACAATGAAAAGTACCTTGAAATTGAGCTCAAATTAGCAGAAATGTTCGATTTTTACCAAAGTTCAAAAGTAAACAAATCATGCCAAGCATCCAATACACATCAACTGGTGAGTCTAATATTCTTTCACAAGTGCACTGATATTATTGATACCATTTCTACACTAATGCAGTGGTCTGCATAACAGTAAATCTTATTTTTTTTTTTTTTTTGTAAGAATAAAAATTCAAAGTGGAAAGCCAAAGAAATATAAGAGGGGCCTGGGGATGTGACTAACGAACAGAGAACTTGTTATTTTAGTGCCAGGAATGTCTTTCTTGTTTATTCTGGACCCTATTCGGAAATTGGCATCTTTTGAAATTTGTGTGAAACTGACAAAATTGCTAAATTCTGGCTACTTTATTGGATAGTTGAAATCGGTAAATGGGTGGTTTCTTGTACTCATTCGATAGAAAAAGTGGAGTTATAGCAAAATAGTTATGACTTTTGTCGACTAGTACACTAGAATTGGCCGAAAATAGGGCTCAAAGTTGGCAAAATCACCGATGCATAAACATCGTCGAGACCGCTAACTTCGTGAGAGCATAATTCCGTAGGTTTTCCATCAAATTTCATACTTTTGGTGTCATTATGATCGGGAAAAGATGGACTACATACCTATACTATTGTTATAACTGATAATTATGCGTATGTGTACTTGTACTTAAGTATGCCTTCACTCAAGGCGTCATTTCTTCTAAAAATGGTGTTACGTGAGAATGGGAGTGTTTATTTTTATTTATTTTACTGTATCAACATGGAGACAACTAGTACACAATGTAAAGTGACGAAAACCAGACACGTTTGTCTGGTTTGTTTACATTATATGTGGGTGGGGTGGTGCGGGCTTCCCTGACTGGCTACCTATACTTTCCAAACTTGACTTCCTACAAAAAAAAACTCACCTCTCACCCTACATTAAGACTGCAAATATTTTAAGGTAATTAATGACTGTACTGTATATGTATTTTAACACTCTGGAGAGCTTTCATTAAATGTAGTATATTACATGTGTGTGGGGTGGGCTGACCTGGGCGGCAAACACACCTCCCAGAACTGACTTCCTACAAATTAAACTCGCCTCTCACCCTACATTAGGACTATAAATATTTTAAGGTAAGTAAGGGGTATACTGTGTGTGTATTTTACTTTTTATTGTTTTTAATGCCTAGTTCTATTGCTAATGTAATATATGTTAGTGTAAACTTGTTACCTGGCATTTATATGCATTTATAAGTTGAAAAAAAAATGGCGTTCTGCTTTCCGGCTGTAGCCTGGAACCTAGCCTGCTGTATAAGTGGGGCCCTACTGTATAATGAAACTATGAAACTGGAATGATATACAGTATAAATACTGAAAAAGGCTGTTATTTTTTTTAGGGTGTGCAGCATTGATATTTGATGACATTAAAAATGTCATAAATAGTATGGTATAGTGATAGTGAGTGCACCAGCCTTCTACTTTTAGTACTGGCTTGCCTTAGGTTTAAATCCCACCCCTTCTGTGAGTTGACTATTGTCTTTCAGAAGACAAAAGTGATTTTGGAAGTAGTTTTGTCATGTAAAAAGAAAAAGAAAAATAAGTTAATGTATCATTCGGGGGTGGATGGAAAGGGATGTGGGGGACATCCAAGGTAGTGTTGGAAGGAGGATGTGAAAGTTGTTCAGAGACTGGAGGTTGAGCATCCAATATACAAGTGTGTGTTGCATTGAAGTAAGCAGAGGTGGAGATAAGTGATCTTTGGAATACACATACGTGAAACTAAACAGCTTCCAAGCTGCTTGCAGTTTCACCTCCATTACCACATACTGTGCTAAGGATCAGAGTGTCACTCACCTAAATCTCAAAACTTCAAAAATAGATGCTCAATGCCTGCAAAAAAATTGTACTAACTTATACTCAATTGTAACAGTCTCATACTATAAACTTCTTTCAACATGGCACACTGTAATATTCCCATATTGTAAGTTAAATCATTTCACTATTGATATATGCAACCTGTATACTTCTTTCAGCTTGTCCCATTGTAATATTCCCATATTGTAATTGGAGTCAGTTTACTATTTGCTATACATAAAAACAGATGTACAACTTGAATAAACTATGATCTGTTAGTCTAGTATTAAGTAGTCTGTAAGCCATTAAATTTAGATTGCCCATAATGCCAAGGCATGATAGTGGCTCTCTCTGCACTGAAAATCACTATTGTAATTACACACTGTAAACAGTCTCATTGTAAACTTGCAAAGAAATAAACATTTGAATTTGAATGATCATGGTGATCTGTAAAGGGATTTGGAAAACCTAACCAGCCAGGCTTGCATTTTAGGTGAGAGGTACGATTCCTGTAGTGTGAAAGTCTGGAAGGGAGGGAGGAAGAAACAGCATTACAGTTTGATACATGCACCAACATTGGATCACATTTGTGTCAAGTTTTGTAAAACTATTAGTGAGCAAGTGTTAATGCACAATGTTTTTTCTTTGGGTTGCCTTTCCTTTGAGAAACTGCTGAGGTGCTAAAGTACAGTGGACCCCCGGTTAACGATATTTTTTCATTCCAGTAGTATGTTCAGGTGCCAGTACTGACCGAATTTTCTCCCATAAGGAATATTGTGAAGTAGATTAGTCCATTTCAGACCCCCAAACATACATGTACAAACGCACTTACATAAATACACTTACATAATTGGTTGCATTGGGAGGTGATCGTTAAGCGGGGGTCCACTGTATAAAGAAATTATAATGTACGTATTTCATTCACATAGTATAATCCTCTAATTATTTATTATATTTTGTATTAATAGGTAATTATAGTAATTATATAGCATGTAAAGTTTTTCTAAATTATGCCTATTAACTAATATTAGTATCTTTGTTGAAAAAGGTACCTAGACAGGAGAGACTGGCGGTAAGTAGTGTTAGTGTACTAATTTTAGAAACTAAAGAAGAAAGCTTATTAGCTTACTCTTCAGGAGACTAGTGATATGAGCTTCTTAACTTAACCCTATTGGTCAAAGTTTCAGAAAGTAGGCATTTGTTCTTTAATTATACTAGTATAGCATATGTATTGTAAAGTTGTTATTCTTTGCAGTGTAATTTTTTTTAGACAGCAGTGTTTAGTTAAAGAGAACTAAATTCTTGGTTATTGATTTTTATTAATAGTTTTTCAGCATTACATTTAGCCATCAAGTACAGTCAACTCTTGATTATCCAAGTACACATGTTCAGTTGGTTCCAGAGGTTTCTCAGTACTTAATTATTCTCAATTGCTCAAGCAGTGCATGCACTGAGACAGCAAATGTAAGCAATGTATATTCAACAGAATATGTACGTTGCCTTTTTTTTCTTTTTTCTTTTTTAATAATCTCAATTTATATTATGCAGAATAATTCTGTTCATGAGAGACAAACTTGCATATTCATGATTTAGACTGCAGTAGAGCCTTTGACAAATTTCACTCTTCCTCAGTGCCATCTCTCTCACCTTGACTGTGTGCCTCTGTAAGACTGCTATGTATTTAGTGCCTTTCCAAGGTAACATTTCTGAAGGGATTCAGGGAAACCGGCAGACTGAACTTGAATTCTAGAGGTGGGAAGTACAGTGCCTGCACTCTGGAGGGGTATTGATAAGTTGCAGTTTTATAACTATAGTGTAGTCTAGCAAGATTGTGATAGAGTGAATGATGATGAAAGTGTTTGTTTTTCTCCGGATCACTCTGCCTTGGTGAGAAACAGCTGATGTGTTAAAAAAAAAAAATAGCAAAATTTGGACTGCATTTTCTTTTGGCTCTAAGAGACAGGCCAGAGAACACACCAATCTTAGTGGATTTAACAAGTGTTGTATGTAGCCACCTACCTGAGTAAATCTAGAGTAAACCTTGAAATTGAACCTGTAATCTGTAGTCTACTACTTGTTTTATTTTAAACTTTATGCATTTCTTAATATATTCAAGGATAATCATTGTCAGATAATTATCATTGTCTCGCATAATCTGTCTTAGATAATCACTATCTTGGATAGTCGCAACATTGAACAATCACCATCTTGGATAGTCAAATTTAATTGTACTGTACATACTTGCAAGAGTTCTGCATGTGTACTGCAAATCTTATGTTACTCTACTGTAATGTTTTATTGTAAGTAATGTATCGAAGCACTGTACAGTTATTTAAAAGGAAATCATAATTCCGTACTTTATTACAAATGTTGTAAATTTTGAATGATATATGAGCATATTTTTAATGTTTAAATCAATCACTATAATAAATAAAGATCTCTTTTAAACTATCATTAATATACTGTTTAATATTATATTTTAGAGTGGTTTAGGGGATGCAGAATATATATCTGCCATGCTGCAGGTAGTGTTACCCATTGCCTACCAGTTCGATCCCCAGCTGGTCCTGGTCTCTGCTGGGTTTGATGCTGCTCGTGGAGATCCGTTGGGAGGTAGGTTGATATTTTCCTTATTTCTGGCTTGTCAGTTAGGGTGACTCACGAAATCGTAATGACACGATTGCAAACATACCATACCCATACAGTCTGGAGTTTTGAGACTCTCTGACCGCGGGTTCAATCCCGGCCGGGGTATGGTTTGTCAGTTAGGGGTTGCAGAGAGAGGCTTTGATGGCAGTGAATGGCTCTTGATTCAAGGAATTGGAACTGCCCTCCTCTTCCATGGGTCAAGTCTGATTACCTTCATTTCCCAGGCACTTTGTCTTACACCATATGGACTTAGCACTTCCTCATGAATATAATACAGGTGTCCCTCGCTTTTTTGTGAAAGATGTATTCCTGGATGATGGTGCATAAATGAAATTGCATATAGCGAACCCACTATAACGTAATGGAGATTCATTCTTAGACTTTGCCAGTTCCACATATTTTTTCTCAATTAGTTTTTATTAAATGTTTCCATGTATGTATGAAGGCCACACATTTTTTTGGGGGGGGAAAATGATTGGTCAGTAACCGTTTTGTTATTTATGTTGTGTTAGAACGTGAGCTGTTAGTTTTCTGGGAGATGAGTGGAGAGTTGTTGGTGAGGCATGGTGGTGGGTAGTTAACCTGTGAGTCATGGAGGGAGGCCCCAACCCCAGCCAAGTAGGAAGACAGGATGGGAGTGTTGACTGGGACCTCGGAGAGTGGCCTGTCTTGAACTGGTGGCTGTGTCACTGCCTCCCTCAGTGTTAGTAAGGGTGTGAAAGGATGGGCTCATGTGTCCTGGACATGTTTAGTGGGTAAGGTACATGACAAGACATACCAGCATCGATTGCTCACTCAGCATTACACTCAAAATGCAACTTTACAGTACTTTAAAGTGATATTTAATGCAGTATTGGTTAAATATGGAATGGTGCAATCACCCTCTCCAATCTTATAAGAGTGAAATTTTTATCATGTACTGTATAGCGAATTCCTGGTAGAAATAGTCACCATATAAAGGCAAAATCGCACATAGCAAATCTGCATAAAACGAGAGAAACCTGAACTCCATGTGTTGATAGGCTTGATCATTAATTCTTTTTCCTGATACCCTATATGCCAAACTGTCCAGTCCCACAAAAATTTTTAAGGTTATCTGTGGTACTCCCAAGGCACTGCAGGACTCCTTTGTAATTATAATAATAATTATGTTATCTATGGTGTTTCCAAAGTCAAACACACTTCTTGGGGCCTTGTAAGAAACTGCAGTATAATGGATGTCACCCTCTTTTGTAATACTGAAATGTGTTATCTTCACAGTCAGTTTCAGTATAGAAATTGAGCCATCAGAGGTAATTGGATAGGCATAGCTCTCTCTGAAAATATATCCTTTACTAACAAGCAGTATTTTGTATACTGTAGTAACATGGTTAAATCACTAAATTTTATATTTTCATAATTACTATGTCTAAGCTTGTCATAACATAGATTAAATATTAAGATAATTATTCATATATAACATTTGTATTTTATTTACTGTATTATGCTACGTAGTTCAAGTATTAATACTGTAATTTCATTTATACTGTACTTTATATGTCATACAGGTGTTAGAATTTTTTTTTTTTTTTCCAACAAGTCGGCCGTCTCCCACCGAGGCAGGGTGACCCAAAAAAGAAAGAAAATCCCCAAAAAGAAAATACTTTCATCATCATTCAACACTTTCACAACACTCGCACATTATCACTGTTTTTGCAGAGGTGCTCAGAATACAACAGTTTAGAAGCATACACATATAAAGATACACAACATATCCCTCCAAACTGCCAATATCCCAAACCCCTCCTTTGAAGTGCAGGCATTGTACTTCCCATTTCCAGGACTCAAGTCCGACTATATGAAAATAACCGGTTTCCCTGAATCCCTTAACTAAATATTACCCTGCTCACACACCAACAGATCGTCAGGTCCCAAGTACCATTCGTCTCCATTCACTCCTATCTAACACGCTCATGCACGCTTGCTGGAAGTCCAAGCCCCTTGCCCACAAAACCTCCTTTACCCCCTCTCTCCAACCCTTTCGAGGACGACCCCTACCCCGCCTTCCTTCCCCTATAGATTTATATGCTTTCCATGTCATTCTACTTTGATCCATTCTCTCTAAATGACCAAACCACCTCAACAACCCCTCTTCTGCCCTCTGACTAATGCTTTTATTAACTCCACACCTTCTCCTAATTTCCACACTCCGAATTTTCTGCATAATATTTACACCACACATTGCCCTTAAACAGGACATCTCCACTGCCTCCAACCGTCTCCTCGCTGCTGCATTTACCACTCAAGCTTCACACCCATATAAGAGTGTTGGTACTACTATACTTTCATACATTCCCTTCTTTGCCTCCATAGATAACGTTTTTTGACTCCACATATACCTCAACGCACCACTCACCTTTTTTCCCTCATCAATTCTATGATTAACCTCATCCTTCATAAATCCATCCGCCGACACGTCAACTCCCAAGTATCTGAAAACTTTCACTTCTTCCATACTCCTCCTCCCCAATTTGATATCCAATTTTTCTTTATCTAAATCATTTGATACCCTCATCACCTTACTCTTTTCTATGTTCACTTTCAACTTTCTACCTTTACACACATTCCCAAACTCATCCACTAACCTTTGCAATTTTTCTTTGGAATCTCCCATAAGCACAGTATCATCAGCAAAAAGTAACTGTGTCAATTCCCATTTTGAATTCGATTCCCCAAAATTTAATCCCACCCCTCTCCCGAACACCCTAGCATTTACTTCCTTTACAACCCCATCTTTTTTTTTTTTTATTATCACACCGGCCGATTCCCACCAAGGCAGGGTGGCCCGAAAAAGAAAAACTTTCACCATCATTCACTCCATCACTGTCTTGCCAGAAGGGTGCTTTACACTACAGTTTTTAAACTGCAACATTAACACCCCTCCTTCAGAGTGCAGGCACTGTACTTCCCATCTCCAGGACTCAAGTCCGGCCTGCCGGTTTCCCTGAATCCCTTCATAAATGTTACTTTGCTCACACTCCAACAGCACGTCAAGTATTAAAAACCATTTGTCTCCATTCACTCCTATCAAACACGCTCACGCATGCCTGCTGGAAGTCCAAGCCCTCGCACACAAAACCTCCTTTACCCCTCCCTCCAACCCTTCCTAGGCCGACCCCTACCCCGCCTTCCTTCCACTACAGACTGATACACTCTTGAAGTCATTCTGTTTCGCTCCATTCTCTCTACATGTCCGAACCACCTCAACAACCCTTCCTCAGCCCTCTGGACAACAGTTTTGGTAATCCCGCACCTCCTCCTAACTTCCAAACTACGAATTCTCTGCATTATATTCACACCACACATTGCCCTCAGACATGACATCTCCACTGCCTCCAGCCTTCTCCTCGCTGCAACATTCATCACCCACGCTTCACACCCATTTTAAGAGCGTTGGTAAAACTATACTTCTCATACATTCCCCTCTTTGCCTCCAAGGACAAAGTTCTTTGTCTCCACAGACTCCTAAGTGCACCACTCACTCTTTTTCCCTCATCAATTCTATGTTCCCCTCTTTTTTAAGACCCATCGCGAACGTCCCCACCCCCAAATATCGAAATACGTTACCCCCCCATACTCTCTCCCTCCAATCTTTTCTCTTTCATCCCTAATCTTTTTGTTATCCTCAAAAACCCTTACTTTTTTCCTGTATTCCTTTAAATTTTCTTTTTTTGCAACCCTCCCAAATTTTCCCCCCACAATCTCTGCAACTTCTTTTAGAATCCCCCAAGAAGACAGTGTCATCAGCAAAGACAGCTTTGACAACCCCCACTTTGGTGATTTTTTATCTTTTAAACCCCCCCCTTTCCAAAACCCCCCAATTTTCTTTTAAAATAAATATTTTAAACAACCAGGTGACTTTCCACACCCTTGTTAAGGCCTATTTTTTGGGGAAAAAATTCCCCTTTCCTACAACTCTAACTTGACCTCACTATCCTGTAAAAAACTTTTAAATGTTTTTGTAACCTCCCCTCCTCCCCTACACTTGAACATCTCCACATTGCCCCCTTTCCCCCACCCTGTCTACCCTTTTCCAAATCCTAAATGCAAAAAGGGACCTTTTTTCCTTCTAAATACTGTTCCTTATATTTTTCACTGAAAAACACCGGGTCCCCACCCCCCCTCCCTTTCCAAAAGCCTCCTTGTTCTTGCTTTCCTATTCTCCGTTTACTCTTATTCTTTCAATTATAACTTACCATCCCTTTTCCCGGGTACACTCAACAGATTTTCCCCCCTAAAATTTTTTGCACTCTTTTTTTCCCCCTTTGTTTTATACAAAGGAACATGCATGTCTCTCCCAATCCCTAGGTACCTTCCCCCTTTTCCCATACTTTTATTAAAAAATTTGCACCAACCCTCCAAAACTATATCCCCACCGTTTTTAAAACTTTTCTACTTTACCCATAAATCCCGGCTGCCTTCCCCCTTTCTTTTCCCTACCCCTCAGAATTCCCCCCACCTCAAACTGACTCTTCCTCATCCTACAAGGTTTTTCCCTCCTTGCCCTATACCGAAATCACAGCTTCCCTATTTTCCCCAAAAATTTAACAATTCCTAAAAAATTTTCCCTTCCCTTTTCCCAATCCCTAAAAATCCCCATTTAAAAACTCTCCTCTCCAATTTTAACTGACAAATCCATTTTTTTCTCTAGGCTTTTTTAAAATTTTTAATCTCATCCAAAATTTTTCAAATTTTAAACAAATTTTTGTTGAAACACCCCACCCACTTCTCTTTGCTCTTTTTTTACTTGCTTACCATCTCTTAATTCCTTTTTTTTTCCCCATTACTTTTTCCCCCTTGCTCACTTCTACTTTGAAAAATTTCTCATATTAACTTTTTCTCCCACTACTCTCTTTACATCACATTCCACCAATCGCTCCCTTTTCCCCCGCCCCCATTTTCCCCTGTAACCACAAACTTCTGCAAACCTCAAACACACTTTTTTAAACCTACCCTTACCTTTCGACCCTTTTCCCATGTCCATTACCCCTCTATCCCCCAATGTGTTTATTTTTACCCAAATGCCTCCTCTTTTAGTTTAAACCTTTCCCCCTCTCTTCCCTTTTGATGCTTCTTTTCCCCTTGTCCCCCCTTCCCTTTTTACTCCAGTGTACTACAATAGAAAGTGATCTGTATATCGTGGCCCCCTATAAACATGTAACCCTAAGTCTACTAAACGTCTTTTATCTCCCAATAATAATCCAACAAAATGTCATTTCCCCCCTAACATTGGTTTTCTTATTTATCCCCTTTTTCTTAAAATATGTATTCCCTATAACTAAACCCCTTTCTAAAAAATTTTCAATCAAAGGGTTTCCCTTTATCTTTTAAACACCGGGCACCCAAATTTCCCTCCCACCCCCTTTAAAAATTTTCCCCTATTTTGCATTCAAGCCCCCCACAATTACTCTCTCATTTGGGTTCAAAGGCCCCCATAATTCATTAACATCCCCCCAAAAATCTCCCCTCCTCTGCTTTCCCTTTCTTCCCGGGTGCTTTCACGTTATTATGACCCATTCTGCACCCAACCTTTACTTTAACCCACATAATTTTAAATTTTACACATTCATATTTTTTTCTCCTTCCAAAAAACTGATCATTTAAATTACTGCTCCCCTTCCTTTGCTCAACTCTCTCAGTACTCCTTTTAATCCCATTTTTTCCCCCATAAACTTCCACCCCTCGCTTTGTTTCGTTGGGGCCCAGGACATCAACTTTTTTCATTCATAACATCGCAATCATTGTTTTTTGTCATCCGCACTACACCCGAAATTTTAAGCAACCCAGTTTTAAATTTTCTTCTTCTTTTTTTAGTAATTTTTTAACAGGAGAGGGGTTTTCTACCCCATTGCTCCGGCATTTTAGTCGCCTCATACCCCACGCAGGGCTTCGGAGGAAAGATTTTTTTTCATTTCCCCCCTGGCAATAGAAGAAATAAAAGAAAAGAGTATTTAAAAAAAAGGAGAAAAACCTAGAGTAGTAAATTTTAAATGCATGGGTTCGAAGTGTGACCAAAGGTAAGTGGGAGTAGAAGATACCCGATCTTGCGTGTTTATGAGAAGAAAAAAAAACCAGCAACCCTACCATCAGCAAAACAGTTACAGGTTTTTTTTTCCAGTCATCGGAGGACGGAGATTTCCCCGGGTGGTTGGTCAACAATACTACATACAACCCCATCTATAAATTATAAAAAACCCATGGTAAAATTTACACATCCCGTCTAAGCCCTATTTTTCCCGGGGAAGTATTCCCCTTCTTTACACACCCTAACCTGAGCCTCCACCTAAAAAACCCTTTTACGCATTTAATAAACCACCTTTTCCCATATACTTGAACATCTGCCACATTGCCCCTCTATCCTTATCAAATGCCTTTTCTAAGTCCATAAATGCAATAAAAACTTCCCTACCTTTTTCTAAATACTGTTCACATATATGCTTCAGTAAACACTTGATCTACACCCCCCCTACCCACTCTGGAACCCCCTTCTACCGCAATCCTACATTCTGTCTTACCTCTAATTTTTTCAATTATAACCCTCCCAAAACATTTTTCCGGGTATACTCAAAAATTTTTCCCTCAAAATTTTTACATCTTTTGTCCCCTTTCCCTTTATAAAAGGGCTATAATGCCTCCACCAATCCAAGGTCCCTTTCCCCCTCTTCTACATTTTTTAAACAAAAGTACCAACCATCCAACACTATACCCCCCCTGTTTTTAACATTTCTGTCTGACCCTCTTTCCAGTGCTTTCCCCCTTTCATTTTACGTAATCCCTCACGTACCTCCCCCACACTTACATTCTGCTCTTCTTCACTCCTAAAAGAGGGTATACCTCCCTGACCAGTGCATAAAAATACTGCCACTGTTTCTTCCTTAACATTTAAAAGTTCCTCAAAATATTCTCGCCATCTACCTAATACCTCCATCTCCCCATCTACTAACTCCCCTACTCTGTTTTTAACTGACAAATCCATACTTTCCCTAGGCTTTCTTAACTTGTTTAACTCACTCCAAAATTTTTTTCTTATTTTCAATTAAAATTTCTTGACAGTGCCTCTCCCACTCTATCATCTGCTCTCCTTTTGCACTCTCTCACCACTCTCTCTACCTTTCTTTTACTCTCCATATACTCTGCTCTTCTTATAACACTTCTGCTTTGTAAAAACCTCTCATAAGCTAACTTTTTTCTTTTATCACACCCTTTACTTCATCATTCCACCAATCACTCCTCTTTCCTCCTACCCCCACCCTCCTATAACCACAAACTTCTGCCCCACATTCTAATACTGCATTTTTAAAACTATTCCAACCCTCTTCAACCCCCCACTACTCATCTTTGCACTAGCCCACCTTTCTGCCAATAGTCGCTTATATCTCACCCGAACTTCCTCCTCCCTTAGTTTATACACTTTCACCTCCCTCTTACTTGTTGTTGCCACCTTCCTCTTTTCCCATCTACCTCTTACTCTAACTCTAGCTACAACTAAATAATGATCCGATATATCAGTTGCCCCTCTATAAACATGTACATCCTGGAGCCTACCCATCAACCTTTTATCCACCAATACATAATCTAATAAACTACTTTCATTATGTGCTACATCATACCTTGTATATTTATTTATCCTCTTTTTCATAAAATATGTGTTACTTATTACCAAATCTCTTTCTACACATAGCTCAATTAAAGGCTCCCCATTTACATTTACCCCTGGCACCCAAATTTACCTACTACTCCCTCCATAACATTTTTACCACTTAGCATTGAAACCCCAACCACCATTACTCTCACACTTGATTCAAAACTCCCCATGCATTCACTCAACATTTCCCAAAATCTCTCTCTCTCCTCTACACTTCTCTCTTCTCCAGGTGCATACACGCTTATTATAACCCACTTTTCACATCTAATCTTTATTTTACTCCACATAATCCTTGAATTAATACATTTATAGTCCCTCTTTTCCTGCCATAGCTTATCCTTCAACATTATTGCTACTCCTTCTTTAGCTCTAACTCTATTTGAAACCCCTGACCTAATCCCATTTATTCCTCTCCACTGAAACTCTCCCACCCCCTTCAGCTTTGTTTCACTTAAAGCGAGGACATCCAGCTTCTTCTCATTCATAACATCCACAATCATCTCTTTCTTATCATCTGCACAACATCCACGCACATTCAGACTTCCCACTTTGACATTTTTTTTCTTGATATATGTTAATAGAAAACTTACTTAAATGGGAGACCTAATTTTACAGCACAGTACAAAAATTTACCCTCAGGCTGCCGTGTGACCCCCGAGTGTTACGGGCACATGACACACCTGCTATCAAGTCTTGCTGGGGGCAAGATTGTGTTGGCACTTGAAGGTGGTTACAACCTCAACACCATCAGTTACTGCATGACCATGTGTGCTAAGGCTCTCCTAGGTGACCCGATGCCATTATTGGAGGCATCGCTTGTCCCAAGTAAAGGTGCTGTGCAGACCATCAATGATGTTATCAAGACTCATTCACAATATTGGTCTATTCTCTGTTTCCAGGTGAGTGATTTCCTATTTGTTATTGCCAACTATAAATGAAATTTTTTGTCCATGGGGAAGTGGAACAGAATTCTTCCTCCGTAAGCCATGCGTGTCATAAGAGGCGACTAAAATGCCGAGAGCAAGGGGCTAGTAACCCCTTCTACCTCCCTACTAAATTTAAAAGGTGAAACTTTCGTTTTTTCTTTTGGGCCACCCCACCTCAGTGGGATATGGCTGATGCGTTGAAAGAAAAGAAAGAAATGAAAATTTTCTGCTAACAATTATTTAAAATGGGGTACATGAATTATCATAATGTTCATGCTCTGGTAATGCTTGTAAAGTAATTAGAAAGTGGAATGAGGTTGTCACCTGTATGTGGTTGCAGGGGTCAAGTCATAGCTCCTGCTGGCCCTGCTTCTTTGCTGGTTGCTCATAGCTCTGCCTCTTTGCCATCTGCCTTTCTCACACATATTTTATAGTTCTTGTATGGTTCCTAATTCTTATAGTTTTGCAGTTTTCCATTTTCCCCCTTTTAATTTTGAATTCTCTCAACTATTTCTCTCTCTCTCTCTCCTCTCTTTTGTGAGTAAATTAGTGATCCTTTTGAAGGCTGATTCTTTCCTTGATCATATGTACCTGTTGATCTTTCATTTGTACCTGTATAATATGAATGTTCATTACTCAGGAAAAAGAGGGAGTTCAAACCCATGGCAAGCCTGTTCTAAATCTTGCAGGTCAAGTTTATGACTGATTTGCCATGGGTCTGACCACTGATGGTTTCCCTGGTTGTTTACATTATAGTCATGTTTTGAGTCATGTATGTACATGTATCAGATGTTAGTCAACTATACAGTAGCATTAATCTGTATCTTCTATTTTGTGGCACAGCTTTGTTTGCATCATTCCCATGAAAGATATATTTCAGAAGAAGAGAAAGGAAAAGAAATCTCTTTTTTATCAAGGCTGTTTCATTCAAATATGTCCTTTTATATTACCATGAGAAAGTGGATGATTTCAAATTGAAATTATTTACATAAATTATTGCAATAGACCAGGTAAACAGGGTCAGTGGTGCATTGAGGCATTTGTGGAAAAAAAAATTATCCATTGAGGCGAAAAGAGAATTATACCAAAGCATAGTACTATTAACACTGTTATGTAAGTGTGAAACACAAGCTTTAAATGCCTCCATGAGGAAGAGGCTGGATTAATTGGAGATGTCATGTTTAAAAGCTGTGTGTGGTGTGAATGTTATGAAGATAATTATGATTGTGGAGATTAGAAGACAATATGGGGTTATTGAGAGGGATTGTTGAGGTGATTTTGGCATTTAGAGAGGATGGAACAGATTAGGATTACTGAGAAAGTATATAAACCTGGGGTGGAAGGAAGGAGGTAAAGGAGATTTTGAGTGATGTGGGTCACTTTGCCTCGGTGGGAGATGGCTGGTGTGTTAAAAAATTAAATTGTTGAATATGCATTTCCATAGGTTTAATATAGGTTTAATATAGTTTGTAGAGTGTGTAAAGGTGGAAACTTGAAAGTGAACATAGAAAAGAGTAAGGTGATGAGGGTATCAAATGATTTAGATAAAGAAAAATTGGATATCAAATTGGGGAGGAGGAGTATGGAAGAAGTGAATGTTTTCAGATACTTGGGAGTTGACGTGTCGGCGGATGGATGTATGAAGGATGAGGTTAATCATAGAATTGATGAGGGAAAAAAGGTGAGTGGTGTGGTGATGTATATGTGGAGACAAAAAAACGTTATCTATGGAGGCAAAGAAGGGAATGTATGAAAGTATAGTAGTACTAACACTCTTATATGGGTGTGAAGCTTGGGTTGTGAATGCAGCAGCAAGGAGGCGATTGGAGGCAGTGGAGATGTCCTGTCTAAGGGCAATGTGTGGTGTAAATATTATGCAGAAAATTCGGAGTGTGGAAATTAGGAGAAGGTGTGGAGTTAATAACAGTATTAATCTGAGAGCTGAAGAGGGATTGTTGAGGTGATTTGGTCATTTAGAGAGAATGGATTAAAGTAGAATGACATGGAGAGCATTTAAATCTGTGGGGGAAGGAAGGCGGGTACGGGTTGTCCTCGAAAAGGTTGGAAGGAAGGGGTAAGGGAGATTTTGTGGGCAAGGGGCTTGGACTTCCAGCAGGCGTGCGTGAGCATATTCGATAGGAGTGAATGGAGACGAATGGTATTTGTGACCTGACGATCTGTTGGAGTGTGAGCAGGGTAATATTTAGTGAAGAGATTCAGGTTCAGGGAAACCGGTTATTTTTATATAGCTGGACTTGAGTCCTGGAAATGGGAAGTACAATGCCTGCACTCTAAAGGAGGGGTTCAGGATTGTTGCGGCCCCCTACCAAACTAGCGATTAAATGGTTAACCTGCCGGCCGGCAGTACCACTGGGTACGTCATCAAATCCAATGTGGGGACTGCTGAGCCGGCCTTAGCAGCATTAAGTACCTGAACACCTCAAGGTACGCAGCTAAGCAGTAATTACCAGAACACCTTACAGTATAGATCTACTGGCAGTAGAGAGTATTCTCCTGCCCATCTTTTGGTATTCTACTGGCTTCTACTGATTTTAGAAGAGCCGCTCACCGACTTGTTAAAAAAAAAAAAACATTGACTTCAAAGTTACAGGAACTTTTGCAATCATGTTAAATTTTTTTGCCTTGTGATCTTGAGCTCCTGTAGAATAACCGAATTGAAGCTTATACTATTGTTTTTACTCGACTGAAAAATGACTTGTATTCTTCTTTTTTTGTCAGGTTGATCTTCCGATAGAGGATGTTCTTTGTCAAGGATTTGGAGGTGGACCACAAGCAGTTGAATCTGGTGTGTCAGGTTCAGAGGTATCATCTTGTGCTTCCTCCCCTATTTCAACTCCGTCCACTAACTCCCCTGCATATGTTTCTGCTCCTGCCTCACCAGAAAAGTTAAATGAGAAATTACAGCGTGAGAGTGATGCTGCCACTCCGGTAGACTTGATTGACATTGAGACTAAATCATGTTCAGAAAAATTGGAAGTGGATTCCAGCCCACGTTCTGTGAGAGCACGAATAATTGATAGGAAGAATCCTTCAATTGAAAAAGAGGAAAGCAGCACAAATGACATAGAGGAACCCAGTGTAGATTCTAACACTTCTGAAATACCACTACAAACAAGAGCAGGCCAAGGTGGACAATCCAAAAAAACAAGGAAAAGATCAGGTAAACAGCAAGGAAGAATACCCAGCCATGAAAGGGGAAATCTGTCACGGACTCCTACACGCACTCGCAAATCTTCCTGGAGTGAAGGAGCTTTGCGTGCTGCTGCATCCAGCATTGATAAAATAAAAGGTCCAACTGCAGTTATATCCAATCAGGATTATTGTGATACTAGTAGCTTGGAATATATAGAAGGTGCTGGGAACATTAAAAACATCATTAAGCGATGCAGTGAACTGAATTTGTTGGAGACATGCACCAAACTCAAACCAAGACCTGCCACTGAGGCAGAGATATTGGCTGTTCACAATGAGGAAACATTAAAAAATATTCCCAGAGGAGCAGTTTATGATGATATTTTAACTGCTGCTGGAAGCACTGTAGAACTGATTCAGGAAATAGTCTTGGGAAGAGCACAGAATGGTTTGGCTATTATACAGTCATCAGGTCACTTGATGTCAGAAACTAGTGCATCTTCCAACATCTGCTTGAATAACATTGCTTTTGGGACTCGCTATGCACTGGATAATTTGAGCCTTAGACGGGTGCTAATAATCGATTGGGATGGTCAGCATGGCAATACTACACAGGGCATCTTTGATGATGATCCACGTATCTTGGTGTTTTCTATACACATATGCAGTTGTCAAAAGCCAGAAGAGAATACTTTTGATAAAATGAGAGAACATAGAGGACAAGGCTACAATTTCAATGTTAAATTAGATTGCAGTGTATTTCAGAGTGATTACTATTCAATCTTTTATCAGCTGCTGTTGCCAGTAGCATACGAATTTTCTCCTGAACTCGTTATAGTCTTGGCTGGTTACAACTTATCACTACACTCGGAAAACATTCATCCAGTAATTTATTCACATTTGACGAGTTTGCTCATGCTTTTAGCACATGGCCGCCTTGCAGTAGTTGTAGAGGTTGGGAGATGCAAAGTGGCTATGGCAGAAGCAGTGGCAGCTATATTACGTGCACTCCAGGATAAACCCTTTGAACACATGCCATTCGTAACCAATGAAAGTTCTCCAGAAGTAAAACAAGTAATAATTGATGCATTGACTACACAGAAAACAAACTGGAGCAGTTTAAGACATCATGCTCAAACATCATCCATAGCATGCAAACAAAATGTGAATTCTCCCATCATCAGGCCATGTCAACATGACTACTCTAGTCAGATTCAAATACTTGGTAATGTACATATTGTTTTATTACTATCTTTGCTTATTTATCCCTCAGCTAGGTGTTGCATAAAACTCACTAGTACACAATTTGGAGAAGACACTTCAGGTGACTTTTCAATCCATCTAGGATGGACTGAAATGTTAAATAGCATTTCTTATTCTAATTGTTGGTTAGTTGTGAATTATTCCCATTATGGTAATGTGACTTTTATTCTGTAGTTCATTATTATAACAGGTGTACCATAACTTTTTTTTTTTATTCATTATTGTCCCACTGAAATCACATTCATTGACCATGCAGTAAAAAAGTCAAGTTCATATTTACTTTCAGCCGTTCATATTTTTCTTAAATGTTGAAGAAGAGTAATTTTTAACTTTTCATATATGCCATAAAGAAAATATTCATTTAAAAAGTCGATCCAAAAGCTTATGAATGGCAGTTTTGTGATTTTTTATTTGTGTATACAGTGAATTTGGTCTTCAGTTTCAGCAATTTTGTTTTAGTTGCTAAAATGAGTTTGATTGTATAATATGTGCACACACTGGCATGTGCCTAACACACACATTTTTAATCGCGCACAAATGTTCATTTGCTTTATAGGCAATAATATCCTAAGCCCAAAGAATACCGTTTGCCTTGTATATGATGACTTAATGATGGAGCATTTCAACTATGAAGATGAGACATACCCAGAGAGGCCAGAGAGAATAAGCTGCATTTATAAGCGTTTTCAAGAGTTTGGCATTATTGACCGCTGTCTTGAGGTCAAGGTAAGGAAAACTTTTAGAAATGCATTTTATCTTTTTTATATGAAATATAGGTTTAGAAAAATTATACTTTGTGATGTTATATTTTTATGTAACTTAATGCTGCATGTTACATTTGAGATGTTATTTTTGTCTTAATATTTTCCCTTTGTCAAATTACTTTTTTTGCAGTAATACTTTTTTCTCCCTTGAGTGATACATATGTCAGTCCATTATTTTATACATGTACAGTATTTACACAGCTTTCTATATGCCAAGCTGGAGTTACCAGTGTACCGTGGATATGCAGATATTAAATTCTTTTTAGTTTTTATTAATATTTTCACAAGTAAATGTATTATTGGCACTGAGTAGAGGTTGATAGTGGACTGGTAGTCTGGTGAATCCTGTCTTCAGTCTTCATGAGTGGACAGTATTAGTTATAAATTTATTCTAGTCTACTTTCTACTGAATAAATCTAACCCACCAGTTTGCTGTGAAAATTGATTCTTTACTTTATACCGCTGAATCACTGAAAGATTGCAGCCAGTAGTAAACCATTAAATGCTAACATGGCTGCTAGTTTAGTAAGAGAGAATACTATATTGCAAAATGAATTAAAATATGAATAATTAATTAACAGATGTCTTAAAGCTGTAATTTGTAGCATTGATTGCAAGTTTTAGCATGTATGCTGTGCCATACAAATAATGTAAGTTGAAAATTTACAAATACAGTGGAACCTTGTTACTCAAACTTAATTTCATTCCAGAAGGCTGTTTGAGTGCTGATCTGTTCGAATACAGAACAAATTTTTCCAAACCGCTCTTCTTTTTTGTTGGGTGTTATCACTAATCTCAGGCCTCATGCTGACTTATTTATACAAATACATGTTGGAGTGTGAGCAAAGTAACATTTATGAAGGGATTCAGGGAAACCGGCAGGCCGGACTTGAGTCCTGCAGATGGGAAGTACAGTGCCTGCACTCTGAAGGAGGGGTGTTAATGTTGCAGTTTAAAAACTGTAGTGTAAAGCACCCTTCTGGCAAGACAGTGATGGAGTGAATGATGGTGAAAGTTTTTCTTTTTCGGGCCACCCTGCCTTGGTGGGAATCGGCCAGTGTGATAATAAAATAAAATAAAAATAAAAAAAAACACCAAAAGCGAAGAAACACAAAATAGTTTACAGTGAAGTTCTGGCAGGTCATGTTTGTTTGGTTGAGTGCCAAGCAAACGGTCGACTACTGAGCCATTTTTTTTTACCGAACAAAGAGTTCGAATACCAAATTGTTCGAGTAGGGAGCTGTTCAAGTACCAAGGTTCCACTGTATATAAGTAATAATAATAAGTAATAAAAATAATAATACTCTGTAAATGTTCCTCGATATGGCAGTGTGTAATTAGTGTACAAATTTAAAAAGGCTATGGTTATGCATAAACACGCTAGATAACAGGGATATCTTGCTACTCCTACTTACGCTTTGGTCACACTTCACAGACACGCACATGCATATATATATACATACATCTAGGTTTTTCTCCTTTTTCTAAATAGCTCTTGTTCTTCCTTATTTCTTCTATTTTCCATGGGGAAATGGAAAAGAATCTTTCCTCCGTAAGCCATGCATGTCGTATGAGGCGACTAAAATGCCGGGAGCAGTGGGCTAGTAACCCCTTCTCCTGTAGACATTTACTAAAAAAGAGAAGAATGTGGCTTGAATGTGCGTGGATGTAGTGCGGATGACAAGAAACAGATGATTGCTGATGTTATGAATGAAAAGAAGTTGGCTGTCCTGGCCCTAAGCGAAACAAAGCTGAAGGGGGTAGGGGAGTTTCGGTGGGGGGAAATAAATGGGATTAAATCTGGAGTATCTGAGAGAGTTAGAGCAAAGGAAGGGTAGCGTAATTTGAAGGATATTTTTATGGAAGGAGAAAAGGAATTGAATGTGAAAATTTCAAGAATTATGTGGATTAAAGTAAAGGTTGGATCGAGAATGTATCATAATAGCGTGTATGCACCGGGAAAAAAGGGGAAGTAGGGGAGAAGAGAGATTTTGGGAAATTTTAAATGATGTATAGGACCCTTTAAACCAAAGTGGAGTCATTGGGGTAGAGGATCGAATGCTAAAGTAGGAGAAATGTTTAAGGGTGGGTAGGTAATTTGGGGGGTCCCGGGTGAATGAAAATGGGAGCCCTTTGATTGAACTTGATAAAAAGGGGGGTTTAGTTAAGGTAATAATTTTTTAAGAAAAAGAGGATAAATAAGTATACAAGATATGAGAGGGCAAAATGATATTTTGTTGGTTTATGTATTGGAGATAAAAGACTGTTGGTAACTTCGGGATGTAATGTTTATAGGGGGGCCCAAGATATATCAGATCACTTTCTAGTTTAAGCACACTGAGAGAAAAAAGGTAGGGGTACAAGGAAATAGAAGCATCAGCAAAGAAGGGTGAAGGTTTAAAAAACAAAAGAGGAGGCAGTTGGGTAAGTTAAAAACCAGCTATTGGGGATAGAGGGGAAATGAGAGATAGGAAATGGGTCGAAGAGGTATGGGGTGGGTTTTAAAATGTAGTTTGAGGTTCACAAAGTTTGTGGTTACGGGAAAAGTGGGTTGGGGGGGGAAAGGAGCGTGGTAAAAAGTGTAAAGAGAGTAGTAGGGAGAAAAATTTAGCTTAAAAGAAGTTTTTACAAAGTAAAGTGATGAAAGGGGGGAAAGAGTATATGGAGAAAAAGGAGGGTTTAAAGAGAGTGGTGAAGCAATGTAAAAGAGAGAAAAAGAGAGAGTGGGTGAGATGTTATCAACAAATTTGTTAAAAAATAAGAAAAGTTTTGGAGTGAGTTTAACAAGTTAAAAAAGCCTAGAGAACAAGGATTTGTCAGTTAAAAATAAAAGGGAAGTTATTAAATGGGGGTTTTAGAGGATTGGGAAGATGGGGGAAATATTTTGGAAATTGTTAAATGTTTAAAGATGGGAAAGCTGTGATTTCATTATAGGGCAAGGGGGAAAAAACATCTTGTAGGGTGAGGAAGAGCCATTGTGAGTGGGGGGGAAGTTGTGAGGCAGTAGGTAAAATGAAAGGGGGTAAGGCACCCGGGGTTTGATGGGTAAAGATAAAAATTTAAAAGCAGGGGGGGATATGTTTGGAGTTTTGGGTGAATTATTAATAAATGTATGGAAGAGGGTAAGGTACCTGGGGATTGGCAGGAGCATGCATATTTCCTTTGTATAAAGGCAAAGGGGAAAAAGAGAGTGAAAAAAATTATGGGGGGATAATCTGTTGAGTTTACCTGGTAAAGTGTATGGTAGAGTTATTTTTGAAAAAATTTTAGAGTAAGCGGAGAATGGGAAGCAGATGAAAAAGGGGCTTTAGGAAAGGTAGGGGGTGTGTGGACCAGGTTTTTACGTGAAACATATAAGAAAAATTTTTAGAAAGGTAAAGAGGTTTTTGTGGCATTTATGGATTGAAAAGGCGTATGAAGGGGGAAAATGGGGGGGCAATGGGGCAGAGTTGCGGGGGTGAGGTGTAGGAGGTAGGTTTACTAAAAGCAGTGAAGTTTTTTTTATAAAGGATAGTGGGCTCAAGTTAAGTATGTGGAAAGGGGAATTATTTCCCAGGAAAAGTGGCCTTAGCAAGGATTTGTGATGTTCCCGTGGTTTTGTTTAATAATTTTGGGGGTTGTAAAAGAATAAAAGCGAGGGGCTTGGAAGAGGTGTGGAGTTAAAAGAAAAAGAACAACATAAAGGGAGTTGTCACAGTTGCTCTTTGTGATGACACTGTGCTCTTGGGGGATCCTGAAGAAAGTTGCAGAGTTGGTGGATTTTGGTAGGGGGGCAAAAAAAGAAAATTAAAAGCAATAAGGAAAAAGGGAAGGTTATGGGTAACAAAAATTTTGGTGATGAAAGATTGGGTAAGATTGGAGGGAGAGAGTATGGGGGAGGTAATGTATTTAGATTTTGGGAGTGGGCTGCACGGTGGGGCTATGAAAGTGAGTGAATCTGAATTGAGAGGGGAAAAGGGTAGTGGTGTTTTGGAGTCTGTGGGGACAAAGAACTTTGTCCTTGGAGGGAAAGAGGGGAAGTATGAGAGTATATTTTACCCAAGCTCTTATAGGGTGTGAAGCATGGGTGATGAATTTGCACGAGGAAAGGTGGGGGCAGGGAGATGTCGTTGAGGCAATTTGGGGGTGAAAATAATGCAGAGAATTTGTAGTTTGGAAATTAGGAGGGGGTGGGGATTACCAAAAATGTTGTCCAGAGGGCTGGGAAGGGTTGTTTAGGTGGTTCGGACATGTAAGAAAGGAGCGAAAAAGAGTGACTTCAAGAGTGTATCAGTCTGTAGTGGAAAGGAAGGGGGGGTAGGGGTCGGCCCAGGAAAGGTTGGAGGGGGGGGGTAAAGGAGGTTTTGTGTGCGAGGGGGTTGGACTTCCAGCAGGGATGCGTACGTGTTTGAAGGAGTGAAAGGAGACAAAGGGTTTTTTAAAACTTGAATCCCGTTTGGGGGTGAGCAAAGTAACTTTAGAAAGGGGGTTAGGGAAACCGGCAGGCCAACTTTAGTCCCGGAGAGGGAAGTGCAGTGCCTGCACTCTGAAGGAGGGGTGTTAATGTTGCATTTTTAAAAAATGTAGTGTAAAGCACCCTTTGGCAAGAAGTGGGAGGGGGTGAGGGGAAAATTTTTTTTTTTTTTTTTTCGGGGGCCACCCCGCCTTGGTGGGAAACGGAGGTGAAATAAAAAATAAATTTTAAATATTATGCAAAACATTTTGAGCAACCTACAGCATAGTTTTGTTTTTGATTTTAAAAATGCTTTTAAAAAAGGATTGAATTTCTATAATTTATACTGTAAAAAAGTTGAATTTTCAAATTTAAACCCCTTTTTTGGGTTTCGGCCGTATAGTACGGCTTACGCACCCGGGTTTTTTACATTAGTACGCCTAAATTTAACACCCTCAAAACTAGTGAGAGATAGCTGGGGAGGCCCACATTGAAAAAAATGGGTCATGTGGTCATGTGCGCAGTATAAAAAAAAATCCCGCGCACAGTGGTAATGTGAAAAAAAACTGAACGTATTTTTTGGTTATAAAACTACTTTGCACTGTATTTTGTATGGGTTTTTTTGTTGTATCTAGTTTTCCCGATCTCATTTTTGGAATGGAAGCATATTACAGAAATTGAGATGATTTTTACTGGGAATGGAAAATACCTTGAAATTTGGCCCAAAGTAGCAGAAAAGTTTTATTTTTACCCCAAAGTTCAAAAAATAAACAAATCATGCTAAGCGTCCCCAATACACTCAACGGTGAGTCAAATTTTCTTTCACAAGTGCGCCCTATTTTTCCATTTTACACTAATGCAGTAGTCTACATATCAGTAAATCTTATTTTTTGTGATAATAAAAAAACAGAGTGGAAAGCAAAAAAATGCAAAAGGGCGTGGGGGTGTGACTAAGAACAGAGGAAATGTTATTTTAGGCCAGGAATGTCTTTCTTGTTTTTTGGACCCCATTTGGAAAATTTGGGATCTTTTGAAATTTGTGTGAAATTTGGGAAAATTGCTAAATTCTGACCCCTGTATTGGATATTTTAATCTGTAAAAGGGTGGGTTTCTTGCACTCATTCAATAGAAAAAATGGAGTTCTAGCGAAATAGTTATGATTTTTGTCGACTAGTTCACTGGAATTGGCCGAAAATAGGGCTCAAAGTGGGCAAAATCGCCGATGCATAAACATCGTCGAGACCACTAACTTTGTGAGAGCATAATTCCGTAAATTTTCCATCAAATTTCATACTTTTGTTGTCATTATGATCGGGAAAAGATTCTCTACCTTTTCTTTTTTTTTTTTTTTTTTTTTTTAATTTGGCGACCCTGAGAACAAGTCTTGGAGAGGGAGGGCCTGGCAACCCTTAAAGGGTTAACTGTCCAAACGTAGATCTACGTTTTTGCACGTAGCGTTCTGACCTTGATTTTCTCCATTTTAAAGCATGTAAAAAAAAATGTAGATCTATGTTTGGCCAGTTTAAGGGTTAATTGAGTAAATAAGTAATATTGTATTTAAGGTGTTAAGCTGCACTGGTATTCTTTCATCATGCCAGTTGATAATGGAACATTGGTATGTTTATTCAAATAAAATGCCAGTGCAATATTACTTTCCTAATAGCCTTCTTAGATAACCCACTCATGTTGATAATTATGTTAAATACAATAAAAAATGTTCGTATTATTCTCATTTAGGGAATGTATAGGGTTACCTTAGTCAGTCCATCTGTATTTTTATGAAAAAAAATTTCCATTCATCACTACATAAATAAGGATAGATTTAGGTATTTTTGTGAAGGGATTCAGAGAAACTGGTTAGCCAGACTTGAATCCTGGTGGTGGGAAGTACAATGTCTGGACTTTAAAGGAGGGGTTTGGGATATTGGCTGTTTGGAGTGACACTAAATTGTCATATCTGGGCTCCTCTGCAAAGACAGTGATTATGTGTGAATGATGATGAAAGTGTTTTTTCTTTTGGTCACCCTGTCTTGGTGGGAGATGGCTGACATCTTAAAAAAAAAAAAAAAAATATCAATCTATCTTGCACATCCTGGTGACAAAATTAACCTAATTTGCCCAAATTGCTCTGCATAACCAGGGCTTTCTATGTACGTACTATGTTACTAATGTCAGCTACGGTCTGTATAAGTTGTATCATGTACTTATAGAAATAAAAACTATTATTATTATTATTATTATTATTCAAGGATTATGTATGTATGTATACCCTTGCAGAGGTTTGAGCCTGGTGGTGCCTGTTACTGGTACTGGCCTATGCCGGGCTCACAACAAATATTTTTTTTAATAATGGAAACAAGATAGTTCCCAACAACAACCTGACTTTACGGTGTTATACTTAGTTAATAATCCCAACAGTATCTAGGCTGGACATCTTCCCAAGATGCACAGTCATGCGAGTGGCTTTCTTTTGTGCATAACAATATTTCATTACACGTAAACTACATTTTTATACAGCCTCTCCTCACTTAGCGACGTACTCGTTTACCGACGCCTCGGACTTATGATGGCCTCTCTGACCCTTATTCATACCTAAATAATGAATATTAGAGCTGATTTCCTCTATTCTGTTTATTTCAATATACAGTACACTACTGTATAAACATTTAAAAATCTACCAGAAATGTTGTAAATGGTACAAAGGTGACATTAAAACAATATTAAAGATGGTTGACACAAACTCACTACCATTATAGTATGCTCCTCACTTAGTGACGAATTCGTTTAACGATGTGGTCTTGGGAACGGAACTCCATTGTTAAGTGAGGAGAGGCTGTATTGCACAAAGAAATAAAATTTGTTTGTTTTACATATAAAATAGTTTAGTCTTTGTTAAAGTCTGCTACAAATTTAGGAAAACTTCAAGATTATAACAAATATAAGTTGCTTACTAATTCATCAATAATGTAACTTTTTTTCGTTTTTAAATTAAAACGTACGATTATTATTACATGCTTAATTTCTTACTTCCCTTAGGCAAGGAAAGCATCAGAATATGAGTTGGAAACTGCACATTCTTCCAAGCACATCAATTTCATGTCAACCCTTAAGGCTAAGAAACCTCAGGAACTCCTGTGCTTGCAGAATAAATTTGAATCTGTTTATCTTCACCGCTGCACCAATGATGCTGCTCTTGTTGCTGCAGGCTCCCTACTTGCGGTAATTTTACAGTCATTATATTTGCTTTAGCCTAGACTATAAAATGCCTAAAGTAGATTCAATGTGTTAATTCTTGATTTAATGAGATCAAATTTGTGTTCTAAACAATACAGCTATAAGACATTTAAAAGTTTATGCTAATGAGGATATTAAAATTTCAACCTGATGGTCATTCAGTGGGCTTATCATGATGAAGAATACTCATTGCAATATTGACTCAGTATAGTGTATTTATGTGTGTTTAATGAGGTAATGCTAGACCTTGGTCATTAGGCCGTGGACAGTGTTGCCTCAGGTGAAAGTCAGCGTGGGGTAGCAGTGGTACGTCCTCCTGGTCACCATGCAGAAAGAAATAAACCATGTGGCTTCTGCTTTTACAACAATGTGGCTATTGCTGCCAAACATGCTATTAGTTCATATGGGCTGCAGAGGTAAGGTGATTTTAACATACCTTAAAGAATCTCAGACTCTTAGGATACAGTAAGTTGTCTGCAGAGCCTTGAGATCACAAGAGATGTATTTATTAAGCTATAAACCACTGAGGAATGCATTACAGTTTTATTTCATTTGTGTGATATTCATTCGTTTAAATAATTTCATGCAATTTGTAACCAACAGAATACTAATCATGGATTGGGATGTTCACCATGGGAATGGAATTCAACTGTTTTAGGGAAATCCCAGGGCCTCTATATATCAATCCATCGCTATGACAATGGAAAGTTCTTCCCAGCCAGTTGTGATGGAAACTACAATAAAGTAGGCATAAAGGAAGGGAAGGGATACAATGTGAATATCCCATGGAACAAGGTAAAGTGCCACAACACACCCTTTTGATTTGCTGCTCTGTATATTTTAATAATTGTTTGTAAGATGGATGGATGAGACCTCTGTGTCTGAAAATCTGGGAGAACAAATGTTAATGAATTTGGTACATGTGAGGGGAAAACTATAGATGAGATAGAGGATGTGGAAATGATTAACTGAAAGATGTATGAGGGAACTTTTATAAAGATTGTGGAAGTGTGGGAAATGAAGGAAATGATGTTCATCTGTTTGAGCATGAGTAGTACATCAAGGAAGGTGCAGGTCCTCATCATTTGTTGGAGAGTACCTTACTGTAGTTACACTGCTCAGCCTTTTAGGGCCATAGAAGTATACTGCATGAAAAGAGTGTTATTTCCTTATTTAATTTTTATTGTTCATATGTTTTTAGAGAGGGATGGGTGATGGTGAATACATGGCAGCCATGCTGGAGGTGGTGCTGCCTATTGCTTACATTCAATCCCCAGCTTGTATGGTTCCCGGCTTTTTGCTGCTGTTGGGGATCCTCTTGGTGGTGAGTATACTTGTCTGTTTAGTTGTGATTGTCTTTTAACCTTCAAGATTTATTATTTTATTATTTTTTTTATTATCACACCGGCCGATTCCCACCAAGGCAGGGTGGCCCGAAAAAGAAAAACTTTCACCATCATTCACTCCATCACTGTCTTGCCAGAAGGGTGCTTTACACTACAGTTTTTAAACTGCAACATTAACACCCCTCCTTCAGAGTGCAGGCACTGTACTTCCCATCTCCAGGACTCAAGTCCGGCCTGCCGGTTTCCCTGAATCCCTTCATAAATGTTACTTTGCTCACACTCCAACAGCACGTCAAGTATTAAAAACCATTTGTCTCCATTCACTCCTATCAAACACGCTCAAGCATGCCTGCTGGAAGTCCAAGCCCCTCGCACACAAAAACCTCCTTTACCCCCTCCCTCCAACCCTTCCTAGGCCGACCCCTACCCCGCCTTCCTTCCACTACAGACTGATACACTCTTGAAGTCATTCTGTTTCGCTCCATTCTCTCTACATGTCCGAACCACCTCAACAACCCTTCCTCAGCCCTCTGGACAACAGTTTTGGTAATCCCGCACCTCCTCCTAACTTCCAAACTACGAATTCTCTGCATTATATTCACACCACACATTGCCCTCAGACATGACATCTCCACTGCCTCCAGCCTTCTCCTCGCTGCAACATTCATCACCCACGCTTCACACCCATATAAGAGCGTTGGTAAAACTATACTCTCATACATTCCCCTCTTTGCCTCCAAGGACAAAGTTCTTTGTCTCCACAGACTCCTAAGTGCACCACTCACTCTTTTTTCCCTCATCAATTCTATGATTCACCTCATCTTTCATAGACCCATCCGCTGACACGTCCACTCCCAAATATCTGAATACGTTCACCTCCTCCATACTCTCCCTCCAATCTGATATTCAATCTTTCATCACCTAATCTTTTTGTTATCCTCATAACCTTACTCTTTCCTGTATTCACCTTTAATTTTCTTCTTTTGCACACCCTACCAAATTCATCCACCAATCTCTGCAACTTCTCTTCAGAATCTCCCAAGAGCACAGTGTCATCAGCAAAGAGCAGCTGTGACAACTCCCACTTTGTGTGTGATTCTTTATCTTTTAACTCCACGCCTCTTGCCAAGACCCTCGCATTTACTTCTCTTACAACCCCATCTATAAATATATTAAACAACCACGGTGACATCACACATCCTTGTCTAAGGCCTACTTTTACTGGGAAAAAATTTCCCTCTTTCCTACATACTCTAACTTGAGCCTCACTATCCTCGTTAAAAACTCTTCACTGCTTTCAGTAACCTACCTCCTACACCATACACTTGCAACATCTGCCACATTGCCCCCCTATCCACCCTGTCATACGCCTTTTCCAAATCCATAAATGCCACAAAGACCTCTTTAGCCTATCTAAATACTGTTCACTTATATGTTTCACTGTAAACACCTGGTCCACACACCCCCTACCTTTCCTAAAGCCTCCTTGTTCATCTGCTATCCTATTCTCCGTCTTACTCTTAATTCTTTCAATTATAACTCTACCATACACTTTACCAGGTACACTCAACAGACTTATCCCCCTATAATTTTTGCACTCTCTTTTATCCCCTTTGCCTTTATACAAAGGAACTATGCATGCTCTCTGCCAATCCCTAGGTACCTTACCCTCTTCCATACATTATTAAACAATTGCACCAACCACTCCAAAACTATATCCCCACCTGCTTTTAACATTTCTATCTTTATCCCATCAATCCCGGCTGCCTTACCCCCTTTCATTTTACCTACTGCCTCACGAACTTCCCCACACTCACAAACTGGCTCTTCCTCACTCCTACAAGATGTTATTCCTCCTTTGCCCTATACACGAAATCACAGCTTCCCTATCTTCATCAACATTTAACAATTCCTCAAAATATTCCTTCCATCTTCCCAATACCTCTAACTCTCCATTTAATAACTCTCCTCTCCTATTTTTAACTGACAAATCCATTTGTTCTCTAGGCTTTCTTAACTTGTTAATCTCACTCCAAAACTTTTTCTTATTTTCAACAAAATTTGTTGATAACATCTCACCCACTCTCTCATTTGCTCTCTTTTTACATTGCTTCACCACTCTCTTAACCTCTCTCTTTTTCTCCATATACTCTTCCCTCCTTGCATCACTTCTACTTTGTAAAAACTTCTCATATGCTAACTTTTTCTCCCTTACTACTCTCTTTACATCATCATTCCACCAATCGCTCCTCTTCCCTCCTGCACCCACTTTCCTGTAACCACAAACTTCTGCTGAACACTCTAACACTACATTTTTAAACCTACCCCATACCTCTTCGACCCCATTGCCTATGCTCTCATTAGCCATCTATCCTCCAATAGCTGTTTATATCTTACCCTAACTGCCTCCTCTTTTAGTTTATAAACCTTCACCTCTCTCTTCCCTGATGCTTCTATTCTCCTTGTATCCCATCTACCTTTTACTCTCAGTGTAGCTACAACTAGAAAGTGATCTGATATATCTGTGCCCCTCTATAAACATGTACATCCTGAAGTCTACTCAACAGTCTTTTATCTACCAATACATAATCCAACAAACTACTGTCATTTCGCCCTACATCATATCGTGTATACTTATTTATCCTCTTTTTCTTAAAATATGTATTACCTATAACTAAACCCCTTTCTATACAAAGTTCAATCAAAGGGCTCCCATTATCATTTACACCTGGCACCCCAAACTTACCTACCACACCCTCTCTAAAAGTTTCTCCTACTTTAGCATTCAAGTCCCCTACCACAATTACTCTCTCACTTGGTTCAAAGGCTCCTATACATTCACTTAACATCTCCCAAAATCTCTCTCTCTCCTCTGCATTCCTCTCTTCTCCAGGTGCATACACGCTTATTATGACCCACTTCTCGCATCCAACCTTTACTTTAATCCACATAATTCTTGAATTTACACATTCATATTCTCTTTTCTCCTTCCATAACTGATCATTTAACATTACTGCTACCCCTTCCTTTGCTCTAACTCTCTCAGATACTCCAGATTTAATCCCATTTATTTCCCCCACTGAAACTCTCCTACCCCCTTCAGCTTTGTTTCGCTTAGGGCCAGGACATCCAACTTCTTTTCATTCATAACATCAGCAATCATCTGTTTCTTGTCATCCGCACTACATCCACGCACATTTAAGCAACCCAGTTTTATAAAGTTTTTCTTCTTCTCTTTTTTAGTAATTGTATACAGGAGAAGGGGTTACTAGCCCATTGCTCCCGGCATTTTAGTCGCCTCATACGACACGCATGGCTTACGGAGGAAAGATTCTTTTCCACTTCCCCATGGACAATAGAAGAAATAAAAAAGAACAAGAGCTATTTAGAAAAAGGAGAAAAACCTAGATGTATGTATATATATATATGCATGTGCGTGTCTGTGAAGTGTGACCAAAGTGTTAGTAGGAGTAGCAAGATATCCCTGTTATCTTAGCGTGTTTATGAGACAGAAAAAGAAAAAGAAACCAGCAATCCTATATATTTATATATATATATATTTTTTAAACTGTAGTGAATTACATATTCCTTATTCTGCACTAGTTTAAAATTCAATTAGGGTTTGAGCAGTTTTTGTTATGTAATAATAAATGCAACTTTTTTTGCTTCTGCATCTCTTCAGTGCTGCAGTTTCTTCTCTCAAATATAATCTGATTATGGCATAGCCTAAGATTTGAGTGTAACAAGTAGTTTGATTTTAAACATAATTGAGAAATGCATTGTTTCTGTTGAACACTGTTAATGCAGCTTGATTGGGGTGAAAAGTGATCGTGAATGACTTCAGATCTAGTATAGAAAAATGAAAAGCTCGTAAGGGGTGGGTAAAAGACACCAAATACTGTAGTTGTCCTCTTAAAAGTACCCTTGAACTCTATATACATCATGTAAGGGGAGTAACACTTGTGGGAAATGCATAATTATAGCATACTGGCTGTGCAAGAGTGATTGCTGGTCAGATCCTGATTAACACATCATAGTGTCATCATGTGGCACAAGAATCGCACTTTATCTGGCTTAACACATTTTATGACTCCCCTCACACTTTTATTAACCCTTTCAGGGTTGGTGCCATACTAGTATGGCTTGCATGCCAGGGTTGGTGCTGTACTAGTACGCATAAATTCTAGCTCCTTCAAATCTAGCGAGAGAAAGCTGGTAGGCCTACATGTGAAAGAATGGGTCTCTGTGGTCAGTGTGCACAGTATAAAAAAAAATCCTGCTGCGCACAGTGCATAATGAGAAGAAAAAACTCCAACCGTGTTTTTGCTTTAAAGCAGCGACCTTGCAGTGTATTTTCGTATGCTATTTATGGTTGTATTCTAGTTTTCCTGGTCTCATTTTATAGAGTGGAAGACATATTTCAAAAATTGAGATGATTTTGATTGGCTTCACAATGAAAAGCACCTTGAAATTGAGCTCAAAGTAGCAGAAATGTTCGAGTTTTGCCAAAGTTCAAAAGTAAACAAATCATGCCACACGTCCAATACATGTCAACTGGTGAGTCTTATATTCTTTCACAAGTGTGCTGATATTATTTATGCCATTTCTACACTAATGCAGTAGTCTGCATAACAGTAAATCTATTGTTTTGTGAGAATAAAAATTGAGAGTGGAAAGCAAATGAAATGTAAGAGAGGCCTGGGGACATGACTAATGAACAGAAAAAAAAATGATTTTAGTGCCAGGAATGTCTTTCTTGTTTATTCTGGACCGTATTTGGAAATTGGCATCTTTTGAAATTTGTGTGAAATTTTCAAAATTGCCAATTTCTGACCACTTTATTGGATAATTGAAATTGGTAAATGGGTGTTTTTTTTGTACTCATTTGATAGAAAAAATGGAGTTCTAGCAAAATAGTTATGATTTTTGTCAACTTGTGCATTGGAATTGGTCGAAAATAGGGCTCAAAGTGGGCGAA